GATGTAGCCTCACCAGTGCTGAATAAACGGGAATAATCACTTATCTAGATCTGCTGGCAATGCTCCTCCTAATGCACCTTAATATGCCATTAGCCTTCTTGGCTACAAAGGCACACTATTGATTCATATCCAGCTTCTCATCCACTGTAATCCCCAGGTCCTTTTCTGCTGAACTGCTACTTAACCAGTCGGTCTCCAGCCTGTAACAATGCTTGGGTTCTTCAGTCCCAAGTGCAGGACTCTGCACTTGTCCTTGTTGAACCTCATCAGATTTCTTTTGGCCCAATCCTCTAATCTGTCAAGGTCACTCTGGACCTGATCCCTGCCCTCCAATGTATCTACCTCTCTTTAAGTTTCATCTGCAAACGTGCTGAGGGTGCAATCCATCCCCTCATAAAGATGTTGAACAAAATCGGCCCTAGAAGCAATCCTTGGAGCACTCCACTTGAAACTGACCGCCAACCTGACATCGAGCCATTGATTACTACCCGTTGGGCCCAACAACCTAGCCAGCTTTCTATCCACCTTACAGTCCATTTATCCAACCCATACTTCCTTAACTTGCTGGCAAGAACAGTGTAGGAGACCGAATCAAAAGCTTTGCTAGTCAAGATGTATCACATCCACTGACTTCCCCATGTCGACAGAGCCAGTTACCTCATCATAGAAGCTAATCAGATTTGTCAGGCATGACTTGCCCTTGGTCAATCCATGTTGACTATCCTGATCTCTTTCCCCTCTTCCAAGTGCTTCAAAATGGATTCCTTGAGGATCCCCTCCATGATTTTTCCAGGGACTGAGGTAAGGCTGACTGGTCAGTAGTTCCCTGGATCGTCCTTCTTCCCTTTTTCAAAGATGGACACTATATTTGCCTTTTTCCAGTTATCCGGGATCTCTCCCAATCGCCTCGAGTTTTCAACGATTATGGCCAAAGGCTTTGCAATGACATTTGCCAACTCCCTCAGTATTTTCGCCTTGCTGATTATTCCCCTGCATTCTTGAGCAATATATTTATACTCCTCCCTAGTTATCTGTCCAAGTTTCCACTTCTTATAAGCTTCCTTTTTGTGTTTAAGATCATCAAGGATTTTCCCGGTAAGCCAATCTAGTCGCCTACCATATTTGCTTTTCTTATTGTGCATCGGGATGGTTTTTTCCTGTGCCTTTAATAAGGCTTCTTTAAAATACTGCCAGCTCTTCTAGACTCTTCTAGACTCCTATTAGTTCTCTGAGGAAGTCAAAGTCTGCTTTTCTGAAGTCCAGGATGTGTATTTTCCTACTCTCCTTTCTTCCTTTTGTCAGGATCCTGAAATCTATCATCTCATGATCACTGCTTCCCAGATTGCCACCCACATCTACTTCTCCTATTAGTTCCTCCCTGTTTGTGAGCAGCAGGTCAAGCTGCGCATGGCCCCTGGTCGGATCCTTCAGAACTTGTACCAGGAAGTTATCCCCAACATGCTCCAAAAACTTCCTGGATTGTCTGTGTACTGCTGTATTGGTCTCCCAACAGATGTGAGAACCAGGGCCTGTGATCTGGAAGCTACTCTTAGTTGTCTGAAGAAAGCCTTGTCTACCTCATCCACCTGATCTGGTTGGTGGTCTATAACAGAAGCCAACCACAACATCACCCCTTTTGCTTCGGCCTCTAAACTTAACCCATAGACTCTCAACAGACTTTTCTCCCTCTATATAATGGAGCTCTGAGCAATCATACAGCTCTCTTACATACAGTGCAACTCCTCCCCCTTTTCTCCCCCGCCTGTTCTTCCCGAACAGTTTATACCTTCCATGACAGTGTCCAGTCATGTGAGGCATCCCACCAAGTCTCAGTTATTCCAATCAAATCATAGTTCTTTGACTAGACCAGGGCTTCTAATTCTTCCTGTATCCCAGGCTTCTTGTTTCTATGTGGTCCTGCACCCCTCCCTTTGCCCCTATGTGTCTCTGTGCCCCCATCCAAAAATTGCTTTCCCACTGTAGCTCTGCAGCCCCTACCCTTCTGTCCATCTGGCCCTGCACCTCCACTCCCATTCAACCCCTGCCCAAGCCTGTCCTCCCTCACTAGCCCTTATGGGCCCCTCACTGATCCCTCAGCAGCCCCATGCTGTCTATCTCCCCATACCCCCTGTCTTTTGACTTGGTCCAACAGGTGCTGTGAAGGTGACTCTGCAGGCTCTCGCTTCCCTAGCTGGCTGGGAGCGGCTGCTGTGTTCTAGTGCCACAGCACCCTATGGTGGGCAAAAGGCAGAATTGCAGCAACATTCCAGCAGCTTTTTTCTGCTAAAAAAAAAAATTAAAAATGCATAGCTTATAAATTATGCTCATGTGCTGTAGCGCAGAATTCACCCAGGAGTAAAATTGCATTTGGGAATTATTTAAACAAATTATTGGAGATTTGCACTTTAATGTCAATTCATGCAGTAGTAAAAATACATTTGCCTTTATAGCAAAGGGTATGTACAAAATAAAAAAAGCATCCTTTTTAATAACACACAATTGTTGTAGCAATACCTTTTCCACACTGACATTTATTTTATAAGAAGTGAGGGGTTGCCTCAATGTGACCCACAAAGCCTTTCACACTGTCTTACTTTTAATATGGAAATGGAATACTGACAATTTTTCAGGTCCAAATGTGCAAAACTTCATCTTGGTCAAAGTAGCTTGGACTCACTTCTTGCTGAAACCGTTAATTTCCACAGGATTCTCCCTTTGATATTAAAAGTTAGGGCATCTGACTATACTGTATAGAGCAGGTTGTGCCTTCAGGTTCCTGTCAAAGTGTTACTGCAGCATTCAACCATTGCTGGCCTAGGCTAAGGTTTTATTTTAACACTGAAAGGAGTTACTGAAATAAACATGCTTCAAAATGAACTGTTTAGGAATAGGTCTCTGAACACAAAATTAAAATAGAGACCAAGCATTTTTCTTATCGGGGCTGAACATTTTATTTATCAAAGTTTACAGACAGAATAAACTAAGAGATTTAAAAGTGATCAAAAACAAAAAAAATAAGGTGGCAAAAGCTGTTCGATAAACAAACAAAGCTTATAGCAGGAATTTTGAAAGGGATTTAATATCCTTTTCTTTCCTTTGCACAGGTCCACAAAACATAACCATCCCATGCTCTTGCACAAATCCTGCTCCAGTCAGATACCCCTGTGAACTGTTCTGATCCATTAGTAGTTATTCTGTACAGCACTGAAGCAAATGAGTGAATTTATGGGAAAAAGGCAAATCTCTTTATGAACTATTCAGTGGGGTTTTTTAAGTTTATACTATCTAGTATCGAAAGCATTAAAAGCATCCCTGCTGCCTATGGGAATAAAATGAGTCTGCTTTTATTAACTACTGAATCTAGTCCCAACTCTACAGCATCTAATAACTTGTGTCTATGAAGCTTGAGTAAATGCCAATGTTTAAAATACATTGTTTCCAGGTGTTCTACAAGGGTGTAAATGCTGTCTTCACATTTGTCAAACACACCGTGTAAACACTAGAAGCAGATGCATTTCTGTAATCAACCAAAACAGGCAAAATTCATGGAATGTAAAACTCAAGAGAGAGTAGTTTTCATTTTTAACTCTTGTGTCTATGAAGCTTGAGTAAATGCCAATGTTTAAAATACATTGTTTCCAGGTGTTCTACAAGGGTGTAAATGCTGTCTTCACATTTGTCAAACACACCGTGTAAACACTAGAAGCAGATGCATTTCTGTAATCAACCAAAACAGGCAAAATTCATGGAATGTAAAACTCAAGAGAGAGTAGTTTTCATTTTTAACTATTTGTGACGGGGTGAAGCAACCCCGCCACTGCCA